TTCGAATAGCCGTGCCCGCGGTTATGGGCGGGTTGAGCAATGTTTTTCGTGATTAGTCTCACACCTCTCACAATAATTATGGATGTTATACCTGGTAATAATTTGCTTAGCTCCTGGTTTGGAGTTAGATCTATACAGCCGGGTATGGTTGTTCGGAATGGTTGGGCCTGTGCAGCATGGGTGTGCTGTTCAGTGTTGATTAAAATTCCTGATTAATTACTCCACTGTTTTACTTCTCTTAAATGTTTTGCTAAATGCTGCTTTTGCAAATGAGCCTATATTATGCCATCCTTTGGTATCCTTGTGCACTTGCATATTTGCTGTGTGGCTTGTTGAGTATGTCATATGCTCATTCTTGCAATAATCAATCAACCTCAGTTGAAGAAAAAGGATCCAGAAGGGGAAGACGTTTGGCTTATACCCCAGTTGAGCTGCCTGTGGGAGTGGAGCCGGAGCTTCGCTAGATTTTATTTTCCGCTGCTGTTTTCTTTTCTTTTGTAAGTGTGTAACGTTATTATTATGATGGATTTGTATATTAAATTGTCAGTTTGTGTACCTCGGCTGATTCCTGGACGAGGATTTTATGCACAAATAAGTTCGGAAATTACTAGTGAATTTCCGGGCGTGACAGGCTTGCCCCTTGCCTCTTTGGGAAAAGGAAGAGGGGAGCGGGGGCGACGCGGCAGAGGGAGGAGGGGGCTCTGCCTCCGCCCCTTGGAGGCTAGCAAGCGGAGTGGCGGGGGCCGGGCGATGACGACGGCGATGACGGCGGGGCTGTGTGGAGCGGAGCGGCGACACGGGCGACAGGCGCGGGCAGGCGCGGCAGAGGGTGACGGCGGCGGCGACCAGGCGGTCGGCCACCACGGCACGCGCGCGGGCGGGTTGCAACGGGAGGCGCGGCGGTTTGAGCGGCGCGGCTCGGGCACGCGCGCTGGCTTGCGGGGCCGAGCGGATGCGCGGCTGCAGGCGCGGCAGGGCAGCGGGGCCGGGTGACGCAGACGGCGCAGGCGCGGCACGGGCGGCAACCACGCGGGCGCGCGCGCAAACAACGCCGCGCGGGGCCGATTTCGCGGGCGGGGAGCTCGCCAGGGATGGAGGCGGGGAGAAGGAGAGCGAGGGGAAGGGAGGGCGCTCGGCGCGAGCGGCTCACGCGCACGCGCGCGCGGCGCGCGGGCGGAGCAGAGGGGGAGGGAGAGAGGGAGAGAGAGAGCGCCGGGGAGGGAGGGGGAGATGGGCCGAGAGAGATTCGGCCCATCGAACCCGGGGGAGGCAAAATAGACTTTTGCGGAGGAATTGATTTGGGAAGGATTTGGATTCGGGATTGAACTCGACGATAGATCGGGGATTGAGATCCGAGATGGCACGGACACTAGACAATCAAACAAAGAAACAAATTTCGCAATTAGGGTTTTTAAGAGATAATTTTCCCGCTAGGCGCCACGACGGAACGGGCGCTACAGACCAACCCCCCTAACAAGAATCTCGACCCCGAGATTTAGCACCTAAGGGAGCAGCTCCGGGAACTCGGCACGGAGAAGATCTTCTCGCTCCCAGGTTGCCTCATCTTCAGAATGGTTGCTCCATTGGACCTTGTAGAACTTGATGGTCTTCCTTCGTGTCTGACGTTCTGCCTCTTCAAGAACCTTGATCGGTCTTTCCTTGTAGGTTAGATTCTTTTCCAGCTCGATATTACCCAGGGGAACTTGTTCTTCTGGAACTCGAAGACATTTCTTTAACTGGGATACGTGGAACACGTTGTGCACATCTGCGAGACCTTCAGGTAACTCAAGCTGATAAGCCACTTCGCCACGTCTGGCGGTTATGAGGTAGGGGCCGATGTAGCGGGGTGCTAACTTGCCGGACATTCCAAACCTCCTCATACCACGGAGGGGCGATACCCGCAGGTACACATGATCTCCTTTTTCGAACTCAAGGTCATGCCTCCGATTGTCAGCGTAATTCTTCTGACGGTTCTGCGCTGTCTTTAAACGTTCTCGGATTAGCTTAACTTGTTCTTCTGCTGCCTTGAGTATGTCAGGACCGAATACCAGTGCTTCGCCCACCTCATTCCAGCACAAGGGAGTGCGGCACTTTCTTCCGAACATTGCCTCATTCGGCAACATCTGGATGCTGGCCTGATAACTGTTATTGTATGAGAACTCAGCATACGGCAAACAACGATCCCAAGTGCCTTCGAAATCCAGTGCACACGCACGTAGCATGTCTTCTAGGATTTGGTTTACCCTTTCTGTCTAACCATCGGTCTGCGGATGGTAGGCCGTACTAAAATTTAGATCGGTTCCGAGGGCTTCATGCAACTGCTTCCAGAACCTTGAGGTGAACTGAGTGCCTCGGTCTGACACAATCTTCTTGGGACAGCCAAATCTACATACGACATGGGTCATGTAGAGTTCTGCTAGTTTCTTTCTATCAAAGGTGGTTTTTACTGGCACGAAATGAGCTGATTTCGTGAGTCGGTCCACGATTACCCAGATGGAGTCGTACCCGCTAGGGGTTCTTGGCGAACCGGTGATGAAATCCATTCCGATCTCTTCCCATTTCCACTCGGGAATCGGTAGGGGTTGCAACAGACCAGCTGGCCTCTGATGTTCTGCCTTGACTCTTTGGCAAATGTCACACAGGGCTACGTATTCTGCGACATCTCGCTTCATTCCAGCCCACCAGAAGTATGCCTTGATATCTTGGTACATCTTCGTACTTCCTGGATGAATGGAGTAGGCTGACTCATGAGCTTCCTTTAGCATGAGATCTCTTAATTCCTTCTTGGCCGGTACACAGATGCGTGGACCGCACCAAACTGTGCCTTGATCGTCTATGGAGAAATTGGTGTCTTTCTTCTCTTGTATTCTTTTTATTAACTCTTTTATCCCTTCGTCGTCTTTCTGAGCCTCCCGGATTTGCGATTCTAGGGTGGGCTGCACTGTCAAGCTGGCAGGGACACCTGACTGTACCACGGTCAGCCTTAACTTCTCCAATTCTCTGCACAGGCGATCTTGGCCAGGCCGTATTTGAGCTACATTGCAATAGGCCTTGCGACTTAGCGCATCAGCGACCACATTAGCTTTACCGGGGTGATAATGAATTCCAAGATCGTAATCCTTAATTAGTTCCAACCATCTTCTCTGCCTCATATTTAACTCGATCTGAGTGAAGATGTACTTAAGACTTTTGTGATCGGTGTATACTTCACATCTGTTCCCGATTAAATAGTGCCTCCAGATCTTAAGAGCATGAACCACGGCTGCCAACTCGAGATCATGGGTGGGATAATTGACTTCATGAGGCCTGAGCTGCCTGGATGCATAGGCCACAACCTTTCGTTCTTGCATTAGGACACATCCTAAGCCTTGTCTTGATGCATCACAGAAGATCTCGAAATCTTTTCTGATATCTGGCAAGGTGAGAACTGGGGCAGTGGTCAACCTTTTCTTCATTTCTTGAAAGCTGTCTTCACAGGCTACAGACCATTGAAATTTCTTTTCCTTCTTTAACAGCTCGGTCATAGGTCTGGCTAGCTTAGAGAATCCTTCAATGAATCTTCGATAATATCCAGCTAGGCCAAGGAAGCTGCGAATCTCTGACACATTCTTGGGCGGGTTCCAAGCAAGTACAGCTTCAACCTTGCTGGGATCTACTTCGACACCGTTGGAGGAGATCACGTGTCCAAGAAATGCTACTCGGTCTAACCAAAATTCGCATTTCGAGAATTTTGCGAATAGTTGATGATCTCTGAGCTTTTCCATTATCAGCCTCAGGTGTTCAACATGTTCTTCCTTATTCTTGGAGTATATCAGGATGTCATCGATGAACACCACGACAAACTGGTCCAGGAATTCCATGAAGATTTTGTTCATTAAGTTCATGAAGAACGCTGGAGCATTGGTGAGTCCGAAGGACATCACTGTGAACTCATATAGACCATAACGCGTTGAGAAAGCGGTCTTCGGGATATCTTCAGATCTGATTTTCAGTTGGTGGTAACCTGATCTCAAGTCAATTTTAGAGAAAACTCTTGCTCCTTTAAGTTGATCGAACAAATCGTCAATCCGTGGCAACGGGTACTTGTTCTTTATAGTTACTTCATTCAGGGCTCTATAGTCGATTACCATTCTCTCATAGCCATCCTTTTTCTTAACCAGAAGCACTGGGGCTCCCCAAGGGGATGAGCTAGGTCGCACATAACCTTTACTCTCCAATTCTTCGATTTGTCTTTTAACTTCTGCTAACTCATTAGCTGCCATTCGGTAGGGTCTTTTTGTAATTGGTGCGGTGCCTGGTGCCAGTTCTATGGCGAACTCAATCTCTCGGTCTGGTGGCATACTCGTTCTTGTCGTTAGAAATTCTATTGATGCTAATTAAACTACTGTCTTGTTTTTTCTTGTTCTGGTTTACAGAAGCTGATGAAGGCTGGTGGTCTGTTTGTTGCATCCATCTTCGTGATGCGCAACTTTGGTGACCTGATGGCCATCTAAAGAGGAGCTGATGCGACAGTAACGTGGATCCACCAGAGCTGTGTGTCTTGTTAGCTGTTAGTTTTCACTTTTATGTCAGCAACGCAACCAGACTTGTTCTTAGGATCATGAATTACAAACTGCTCACTCGAGAATTGAGATAGTTTTCATGATATAATGGAAGCCAGAGTGCTACTGGTTTTGTGAATCAGCAGGCGAATCTGCGAAAACTCAATTGGGATATCCTTTAGTTGAGACTGGCCAAGTTCTCTACACTCCAATCCATGATGTAGTGCATTGTACTAGTTGTTGCATTGTGTTGATGACTTGCTGTGAAATCTTTATCTCACTGATATCGATTATGCATGTTATTCTTTCGTGGAAGACTTCCTTTTTTTTTATACGAGGTATCATGGAAAAGAATTTTTGCAAAAAAAAAAAAAAACTTCTACTGGTGAGGGAACCGACCTCTTCTGGCTGAGTTCGCTTGCTGAGGTTCTCAACCTTTAACTCTCTCAAAACTCAATAGGTCGGCCAAATCACTCACCGATTTGGCTTGTTGATTTTTTTTAATTTTTTTATAATTTTCTAAGTGATATATAAACAACGATAGGATATCACCTTAAGACACATCATGTAGGAGACTCATCGCCTCGATCACACACATATACTGACATAGTACATCGTACTATACGTACTTATTTAAGCTAACATCCAGGCCAGCTGGTACATGCAGAGTTTTCAGATCACATATAGGCTGTGTTTAGTTGCCGGCGTCCTCCGATCCGTTACTTGAAAGCGCCAACGTCTTCCTCGTCTCCCTTCCGGCTGGCCCTGAAGTACTCCTTCGGGTTACCCTCGAACTTGTCGCGGGAGATCATCACCTTGCCGTCAAAGCCCGGCGCCTTCATTGTCCGGGTCGTCGGCGGATCATCATCTGCCGTCTTGTCCGGGTCTCCACTGCTCTCCCCGATCGCCGACAGCAGGAACAAGGTGCCGGCGGCGGCGGCGGCGATGAAGGCGGTGACGCCGAGGATGCGGCGGCGGGTCGAAGGCTTGTCCGTCTTCTCCTTCTCCTTTACCTCGTTCCTCTTCATCTCGCGGCAAGAGAGAGAGAGAGACAGAGAGAGAGTGGGGGGGGGGGACAGTGGGTAACTGGCTACGGAGATTGGAGAGGCCTCAGAGCATCAGGGCAGCTTTTGTAGTGAGCTCGCGATGGGACCCACATGGCCACAGCCATCATCACTACTCCATCTGTCATGCACTCTTCCGTAGTCTTTAAGTAAAGAGGGATCTTAATCTTTAAAAATTAGTGTAGAGAGATTTTACCGTACCGGAGGAAGTACATGTAAATACTAATGGGCTCATCTTTTGGTTTATACTTATATTTATCAGCTAAAATTTAAATTTTTAACCTTAAATTTGGAGCTGATTTTGAGGTTTTTTTATCGAAGTTTATTTTTTAGTTTTTATTTTTAGATCGCTAAGAACATGTATATAAAAGTTTTAACCACAAATTACTTTCCGTTTGCAAATATGCCGTTTCGCTTATTCCGCGAATAAGCGAAATGATGGCTCCGTAAAATTTTGATATCTCGAGATATCTAATATTTGTAGGTATCAAATTTTATAATAGAAAATATCGTATTGCCTGATATTTTCTTAAGAATGATAAAATTACTGCATCGCTCACATTTCAAGAAAATTTTACTTGGAAAAGAATAAAGTTAAAGTGTCCCATACTATTACTTTTATAAAGAAAGTAAATAAGAGGATAAAGATAAACTTACTTTAGAACAACCTTTAGAATTACTAACTTATTTCAGGGTGTCGGGATGGGAATTCTTTTAGAAATAATACTCCCCCATCCATCTGAGTTGCTCGTATTATTTTTTGCATTATGACCAAAAAGAGCACTAACTTCTCTATGATTCATTTAATCTCACTTGTGATTTCAGCCAATCGATCTCTTTTTTACAAGTTTTTATTAAAATAATATTATTTCTAAAAACTTTTCTGGGGAAGGAGATGGAAGGCCAAAGGGTTAAAGGTGAAAGCTTTTAGTCTTTCGCTGGACCCAGCTTGACTCCTCTCTCCACTATGTGGTTTCTTCGTGGAAGATGAAAAAGCTTTTCGTACGTGGCTGACTCAGCTAGACTCCTCTCCACGATGACCCATTAGACTGTGTTCTTGAGGGCAAGTTTTATAATAAAGGTGATGGCCGCCTTTAATTTTATCCACGTCATTTATCCATAAAATTAAAACTAACTTATATAAATGCATTGCATTTAATACACTAGTCCCAATACACTTACCACTAACACCATTCTCAACCCAATGACTAGGATGGTATCCATAGCATTAGATAAGCTGCCACCTAGAATGAAAAATGATATGACAAGTGAATAAATAAGAAAAGAGAAAAAAATCATGGTCTTTACACAACATTTAAGACATCATGTGAGATAAGTAGCATTAAATCTAAGTATGGAATAGTGGTGTTTGCATTGGAAGAGTAGTGTCTAGTATTAGTTTCTTGATGATGTGGAGTTTGTGAAAACTATGTATAGTGTTTTGGGTTAGGAATGTCCTAATCAACCCCTTTCTTTTCTTTTTCTCTTGTTTCTTAAAGTTTGTGTAAAGGTTGCCCCTTATATGAGAGCAAGGTCAATAGTGCAGCTAGTGGCAAGCTCTAAAATTTTATCATGTCAAGGTAGAGGTGGCTCCTTCTCTCTCTCTTTTCTCTTCTCTTCTCTCCTCTCCTCCACATCATCATTTAAGTATACATGACACTTTGGAGTTTGTGCTTAAAACCTTATATCACTTGCCATTATAGTGAGTTTGTGCTTAAAACCTTATATCACTTGCCATTATAGTAAGTTGGAAACTAACTCCCCCAACACGCAAAACATAACGATAAATTAACGCGTAATTTATTAATTATTAGTTAAAAAACTTGAAAAATAAATTAATATGATTTTAAGTAATTTTTTTATATTTTTTAAATCAAATCATTTAATAGTTTGAGAAGCGTGTGTATGAAAAATAAGAGAACACAAAAGCATTCTTCCTAATAGCCAACTAATGCCGCATCAATAAAATGCAGAAAATAGTCGCTTTGTGCAATTTCTTTCGAAAGAGCCGATACTAGGACTGATCAATCCTCCGCCTAACAAGGTTAGGGTAGGGCCGTATAGGATTTGTTCAGAAGTCCCAATATTTTATTCTCAAAACTATGTTTTTTTGAACTCCTAAACTAAATATAGAAAGTAAGAAAACTAATCTTTTTAAGAGATGGCCTAAATTTGATTCCCTATAATGAAAAGTGGGCTCTCCCTTTAACTACCAACAGAGAAAATTAGTTTTTTCTGCTCCTCCCCTACGTGCGCACCGCGTGGCTAGCTCAATTTTTTCTCCCTACGCGCGCGAAAGAGCGATTGGGAAAAAATTCGCTCCCTTAAAAGTAGGAAACGAGATATCCGGAGTTGGGAACTTGGATTATTAGGAGACAGGTTAGGGATTCTGTTGGATACGATTTTTAACCAAATTTTCCTAAATCTGAGGATAGGGAATAAAATAATAATAAAGCTGTTGGTCATGCTCTAACTTCTCCTTAATCATTTTCTTCACATATGTTTCCCAAACTGCTAAATTGTATATTTTTTATAAAAAGTTATATAGAAAATTTGTTTTAAAAAATCATATTAATTCATTTTTAAAGCTTTTTTAAGCTAATACTTAATTAATCATACATTAAACATCCACTTCGTTTAGAGTGTAACGGGGAAAGAGGGTTCCTAATAGCAAGTCTAATAAGCAGGCGATTAGCCTATATAAGAGGGAAATTATTTTTTTTAGTGCTAATACGATCGTTTGATGTATTATCAGCAGTTGGCAAACCGATGGCAGCCTGAGCTTCTTCACGGCTGTTCTATATATGAACCGAGCTGTTGACGTATAAGCTGAAATAGTGATCGGGTTAGGGACGTTTTAACTTTCAGTCACAAATTGACAAATTATGATTGGCAATTTGCATTGTACCCCTTGTGGAGACACTGTTGTAGGATAGAAATTCGCAAGTTAAGTCTGCTGTTGTTGTTATTCACATAATTGTGATTGGTGGGTTATCTAAAAAGTATTCGACACAAAACGGAGCCAAGCACAGTCAGATTTTTCTCAATCTCTAATCCTTACCCATAACGACAAGAATAGAGGGCCTCCACGTACAGACTTTCACGATTAATTATAAACTAGTACATACTTTATTTCTCAAACCATATAATTAACACTACATAACACTCCACACATATAGTAAAAATTGCAATATAAATACCAAATAACTACAATGTAATTGATACGCAAGTATAATGCAACTGAGATGTAAGTACAGCGTGTAATTGGTATGTAGGTACAACGGAACTAGGATGTAATTACTTTGTAATGAATATTAATATAATTTTGGCTATGGAGACATGGAGTCAGCACAACTACTGTGCTCTTTTTTTTTTTGTAAACTTAAACATCCATTAATATAAAACGACAGAGTTCATATGAATAAATCCCAGTACATTGCCAAAAGGATAAAGAGAAAGCATAAGACCATCCGTTTCGAAAGAACGGAAAACTGCACTAAGGCCACAATCTTCATATAGAAACCACACAGCAGAGAAGGTGCACATCGACAGGGAGCTGCGGCGATGAAACTGCACTAAGGCAATGCTGCGACGATTGCGACCTTGGGCCTCCTTCAGCGTGCACAACGCTTGACAATCCGGTAATCCCCATCCGGTTGCCTCCACGAAACGGCACAAAACGGAGGTCTGCTACTGAGCCATAGATTTTGGAGTAAGCATCCCCGGGCTCAGCAAGAGATGTCCACGGAGTCCGTCGTCAAATCTGAGGAGCGAGAGCTCAACCCGAACAACAAACCCTGCATGGAACAAGCCGATAGGAAACACATAGGAAGAAAGAGCCCAAATCCAGATCCCCATATCCACTAAAGAACTCGAATGGTGGCAAACGAATTGTTGTCTTCTTGGATTGACGTACGTGGATGGGGAAGTGAAAATCTGCAAAGCATGACTGATAGAACCATGGCATTGGAAGCACATGTTCAGGCACCAGAGAAACCGCCGCCACAACGCTGACGGGCTGTCGTCCGCACCACGAGCGGCGAGCTCCGGGCGACAACAGAACCAGCCAGCAAGGGACACAGGAAGCCGCCGCAGCCGATGCAAGAAGCAGGGCGGCGGCCTCCCAGCTGAAGACGGCGACGCAGCCGACGCCACCACAAGAAGCCAGCTCCATCCATCAAATTGCCCACTGATCTTCGGATCTTGCACTTCCACCGCCACCAACCAACACCTCCGCCGACCACTCCGGCACCCATGGGAACTCGCCGGCAAAAGCACTAACTAGAGACAAACCTTAACAACAGGAAGAACCTGACGACTTAATAACTGACATAAACACACAATACTAGTAGGGGGGAGGTGGCCGGACCACTCCTCCAACCCTCGCTGGCGGCGCCAGAATCGAGGAGGAAGAGGGGCCGGGAGATGGGGAATGGGAGCGGCTACTGTAGAAAGGGGGAAGGGGAAAGAAGACTCTACTGTGCTCTGTTGGTTAGGAGCTCTCTCTACTACTGAGCAGTGAGTATTTTTTCATGCTCCCTGCCATTGCCTATTTTTTTTCCTGCAACTAGGCACTAGCATGAATCTTAATGTATATCCTATGGCCAAAAAAATTGACAATTTTTTAACAAAAAAAAAGGTGACACATTTATAGCAAACTAGATAATACCCCGCGCGTTGTTGCGGGAAATCTAAGTTAGATACTATATATTGCTCGGTGAGATGGTTTGCAAGAACGAATAATGATATAATTGTAACATATCCATTGTGATGAAATGAGGTTAATAAAAGGTTGAACAGTCAAGCTTAATATAATAAACAGATGTCATAATACAATATGGAAAGAAGATCAACTGGCAGTATCTTAGTGGTAGAAAAATAGAGGATAAATTGCAAAACTTGTCATTGTCTTCTTTTTCCAACTCAATCTACTATTTACTATATCATATGAAAACATCTACCTGTAAAAGTTGCCTCCAATACTATGTTCAACGAAATTTGTATTAACTATTATACTTCCTCCGTTTCATAACGTAAGTCATTCTAGCATTGCCCATATTCATATAAATGTTAATGAATATATATATATATATATATGTGTGTGTGTCTAGATTCATTAACATTCATATGAATATGGACAATGCTAGAATGACTTACATTATGAAACGGAGGGAGTACCAAATTAATAACCGGTACAGAGATAGAAGGTCCATTTTGAGGTGCTTTTGAATGGACTGGTTGGGTCAATTTTGAGAGCATGGAAATTATATATTTTTTAAGAAAAATCTGAAGAGGCCAATAATCAAATAGACAAACACATGTGCCCTGGCTGCGAATGGCGATCAGTTGCACTTCTCGAGCTTGATCAAATCAGAGGATGCGACCATATCATTGGAAAGAAAAGAAATGATTTTGTGTTGAAAAATTATCAAAACATGGAGTGCACCAGCTTTCAAATCAGGGCAAACAGACAGTGTCCTGAAAATCCATTGAAGAAGAACTTGCTGTCAGCAGTTCTGAAAATGCTGAATACTTCCGATGAGCCAATTGCATGGCTACCTGAAGATGAAGTTTAAATATTTCACGCAAAACGAGGTAGTAATAACATGTGATTAATTGAGTTTTAATTATTACAAACTTGAAAAATGGATTAATCTAATATTTTAGAACAACTTTTATATAGAAAGTTTTCGTACGAAACACACCGTTTAGCAGTTTGAAAAGCGCGCCATGAAAATCTTCATTTTCATCCAGCCCAGTTGGAGAATCGAAAGCGACAGCTACTGAATAAAAATTGAAAGAGGAGAAATATGTTACCTATTGTGAGATGTGACAGTAACTCTGCCGTCCAGCGTTGGCGCCGATTCACTGATGACACAGCGATTGTTCCGATTGACGATGAGTTGATTTGAGGCAAAGCACCTGCACCTACCGCGGAAGCTCTGGAACTGATCACTTACAACATCGATGAAGGTAAATTAAAGCGGAGCTTCAGCTGCCACATGCGGTTCATCCTTCATAAGCATATTTCGATGAACACCAGGAGGATGAATATCTCGACGTTCCTAGTAGATGAATATATAAAGGCATGAAGACTGTTTAGAGCAAGTTTAATAGTATAACCAACTACTAACTTTAAATTATCTATAGTTAATTTAACAGCCAACTCATACAATAGTTACATACTACACTATTAATACCTGGTCCCATTTGTCATACACACATTACGTCTTGGAGTCCGTGCTATAGCTGGCTACAAATCTATAGCCCGCTGCTCTTCTCTCTTCTATTTTATCTCCTTAAAATATGTTTATAGCCGACTTATAGCCTGCTATTATACTCCATCCATTCTAAAATATAAGGCATAACCACCCCTAATCCAAAGACCAAGAATATAATTATTATTATCTTGTAATTTGGATCATCCTAATAAATACAATGCATGCATCTAATAGAATAAGAGAACATAAGAGTGGAGGATTTAAAAAAGTAATAATTTAATAGAGAAGGGGTCATAATTAATTCCCTACATGCATGCATGTCTTATATTATGGAGCATTAAGAAAATGGTTGTGTCTTATATTATGGAATGGAGGGAGTACCTGCTTACTTCACTCATCAATCAAGTTAAAATAGCGTCAACCGTTTATTTTTCTTTGAGATGTGTGTTGCTTAGTGGGATTAAATGGTTGAGCTTCTTTATTTTTTTCGTGGAGATGAAACGGTTGAGCTTTAGTGGGCTCCTAGGCGTTACCACATTAATTAGTGGGTCGTTCACTTTGATTTGTGGTGCCATGCGTTGAGATAGGAGAACATTCACCTGTAGAGTACATCTATGTTCTGCAGAGTAACAAACGCTCATCTGTAATATGATGGCTGGGATTAATATAGGTGACGTGGCTCACTCATATCACAGGAAATTAGTTTCAATTGTAGGGGATGACTTGTATAGGCATATAGGATCCGATGGTTAAATTGCCACCATAATTGTTTTTGCAACTACGTGATATGAAAATAGCACGAATCTTAATGTATATCCTATGGCCAAAAAAAATTGACTAACTTTTAACAAAAAAAAATGGTGACATATTTATAGCAAATCCGCTGGTTAAATTAATGAGTAAATTTCACAAAACTACACGTTTTGTGGTCCAAGTTGCAGAAAATCACACACACTTTGACACTTGGCACTTAAGTACATATATTTTGGTTGTGTAGTTTCACAAAACCACACTATCGATGAATGGATTCACCCGCGAGATGACGTGGCTATTTCATCTAGGACGAGGATATGGCATCCTATTACCAGCCATCGCACGAAATTAATAGGATGTCACGTCCTCATCCTAGATGGAACAACCATGTTATCTCACGGGTGAATCCATTCATCGATAGTGTGGTTTTGTAAAACTAAACTACCAAAATATATGTACTTAAATGCTAAGTGTCAAAATATGTGTGGTTTTCTACAATTTGAACCATAAAACATGTAGTTTTGTAAAATTTACTCTAAATTAATTTAACCAACGGATTTTCTATAAATATGTCACCATTTTTTTTAAAAGTTAGTCAATTTGCCACCATAATTATTTTTGCAGCTACGTGATATGAAAAGCTATGAGTAAACTCTACTGCTCCCTCCATTTTCTTTCTGTTTCTGTTGGTCGGTTTTACTATTTCACTTACGATAGATTTTTGGGCTCTTATCTTTTAATTTTTCGTCCGTAGGATCTTGCATTAAAATTCGTGTTCCTATATATCCAACTTACAGTTGCACTCAATTACAGAGCATTTACACTCAGTTACAATGTACTTACATTCAGTTACATAGCACTTACACATAATGCATCAAAATTAGATTTCACTACAGTTTTTTTTTTCTAGATTTAGTATTTTTTCTAGATTCTGGGTTTTGCATTCTTCTTCTTGATTGGTAAGTTTGCTTGGTGCCATTTTTTTCTTTGGCCTTTTCATTTTCATTTCATTTGTCCATTTTAGGTTCATCTACTTTTCTATTTTGTTCTTGAATAGAACAACAAGTATCAGGCTATAATCCAATGCCTTAACAAAGTGTTAAGCTTGAGCCTGTAGATAAAAAGGAGCCTTGCACAAGACAAGGAAAGAACAAATGATACTATAGCAGTTTGCTAAAATAGACAAGGGCCACAATTGTTTACTTGTTTACTTATAAACAGGGCCGGCCCAACAAAACACAGCCTAAAATGTGAACCAAGATTTTGGAATTGAACGGGCTAAGGGTGCCACTACATGCCTGCATTCATACATTCACGGGAGAAGATCGCACCGTTGAAAATTTGATCGAAACAAAATAAAAAAAATTCCGGCGAGATGCAAGTTCTCCAATATTTTGTGTGATGCGGGGCGCTTGCCTCACAACGAACGATTTGCAGCGCTGAGGTTGGCACCTAGCCCCCGGATTGAGATCCTCTACAGTCAAATGCACGATACTTTTGTCACTTACATGTGGGCCTAGGGATCATCAGGCTCATATGTTAGTGACAAAGTCACGTGACTTCGACTGCAGAGGATCCTGATCCCTAGCCCCCCGATGTCATCTTTCTGCCAACGATGTACCCACATCTTCTAAGCTTGCGTCTTCTCACAACAAGTGTGGGATTGAGTCCGGATGCACCTAAGGACTCGCATGCGCAACTCCGACATCTGGCTTCGCTACCTGGTGGTGTGTGGCTCGCAAGATGGTGACAAAGCATGACAGGAAAACTTTTGATGTGGGAGCGCAACGCCCGTATTTTCGAATGGAAGGCAGCATCCGTCATGCAAGTGTGCACAACCATCAAAGAGGAACGAAAGACTAGAAAGTCGGCGGGGTTGCGAAGTGCGCTGTGAGTAATTCACCGAGTTTTCTGTTCCTATAGTTCAGCCCCTAAGAGCAAGTTTAATAGTATAGCCCACTACTAACTCCAATTCATCTATAACCAATCTAATAGCCAATTCATATATACAATAGTTGCTTACTATACTATTAATATATAGTCCCACCTGTCATACACACACTGCGTCTTGGAGTCCGTGCTGCAGCTGGGTACAGATCTGTAGCCCGCTGCTCTTCTCTCTCATATTTTATCTCATTAAAATATATTTATAGCTGGCTAATAGCAGGGCCTGCTATTGTACCTGCTCTAAGGCATTAGTGGGCAACGGGGCTTCTTCACCCTGGCTTGAGTGTGTGTTGGCCTGTTGTAAACTATCTCCTCTTGCTTAATAAAAGTTTGGCCGGTGTATTCCTCGGCCTAGAGAAAAAAAAAGGAATTGGCATCACTTCAGCATGCCAATTGTTGCAATATATTCCCAAGATTATCTGAATTATCCGAGCAAAGATTCAAACCCATGCCACTTTCCCACTCATTTGGAGCATTCAGGGTGATATTTTGCAAACAAACAATCAGAATTAGCGAGCAAAAGTTAAACCAACACAAGAACAACTGAACAACATTATCATGCACTATGCACTAGAACATGTTTTGGATGCTGCAACTAATATCATTTCCATTTTGCTTTGTAGATCGGAGAGAGCCGCTGCACCTGCAAGCATCATGGCAACAACAATGGACATAATGCACACATCACACTTCTTGAGTGACTCTTCAAACTATAATGAAATTGTGAAGGTCACATCTCCTATATGGAAGCTGCACAGTTCTAGCATGATTTCAACTAATTGCTTGTAAGAAGATTATATATAGAAAGAGAGTGCTATTTCTGGGAGATGGGCTTGACGTTCATATTTCTATCTACAGCTGTTTCAGGGTATGGGATATTTGTGGGAAACAAATCTACTGGTAAGAATCTGTCAATCAGCCCATTTTACTTATTTTTCCTATGAATTATCATAGTATAAAATAGAAATTCATTCATATTTTTAAATCTAATTTATGTTGTTTGTGTTTTAGGCTGTCAGAGGAGTAGTGATGTCGACATTAGCTTCTTCATCTTAGTTTCAATCGATGAGTGGGTACAAGACCACAATTGGCTCCTTTCTTCATCTTAGTTCTAATCGATGAGTGAGAGTGGGTACAAGACCACAATTGGCTCCTTTCTTCATCTTAGTTTGGGAGTGGGTACAAGACCACAATTGGCTCCTTTCTTCATCTTAGTTCCAATCGATGAGTGGGTACAAGACCACAATTGGCTCCTTCATCTTAGTTCAATCTCATCTTAAGTTCCAGTTGATCAGTGTGTACAAGATTAGACACGGAAACACACATTTTCAATTTATACAGACACGAAAACATACACCTTTTTCAATCACTCCTTTCAATTTATACAGAAACACACATTTTCAATTTATACAGACACGAAAACATACACCTTTTTCAATCACTCCTTTCAATTTATACAGAGACAAAAACATACACCTTTTTCAATTTATCATGGGCGGAAACACACACCTTCTCAATTTATACAGACACGAAAACATACACCTTTTTCAATCACTCCTTTTCAATTTATAGACACACAAACATACACCTTTTCTAATTTATTATGGGTGAGACCTTCTAATCTTTACATAATACTTATAGTAAAACACACTCACCCATTGAATTCAAACACCTGTTCGAATACATGTATTAAAACACCCTTCAACCCATATTAAAACGCCCTCAAACACCTCTTGTTCAATTAACATGGTCAAATCAAAATTGTAATAACGTTCAAATTATTCGGTATTTTGTGTGTTCTAGCCATACTAGTCGTCAACGTTACCTGTAGTGATGCAACACAGTCCTCCCTGGACTAAACGCAACCCGGTAATGAATAAGAACATTTTGAAATCGATAAGTGTTTCAAGAGAAGCAGAGCAGAGCTTATAACACACATTGAAAAATTGTATCACCGGAAGATGATGAAAAGAATAATATTATGTTTTTTTCTCTAAACAATCAATTGGCACTAAATTCTAATTCAATATAGTCCAACAATCTAATCATCCACAGAAAACAATATTCTTTGAGCATGAATTAGTACAGGTGAGCCTTGTTTAGTTCTCTCTATAATCTGTTGGATGAGCATCTTACTATCCTGGTCATCATCTTCAAATTCATCTTCATCATCTCCGTCACTCTCCTGAGTTCTGTTAGGCTCTCTGCTCTTTAAAATTCGCTCCCAAGTGGGCACTTTTTTCAGCTTCCTTGCACTGCCATCCTCCAAGCCCCAGATCAAGCTGCGGTCCACCGAGTAATCTTCATGAACTTGAGGCTTCCCGTTGGTACTTGTGGTGCAAGGGGAGTCCGCAATTCTCATGAATTCCTCATAAGCTTCATCGTAAGCCTCTAGCGCGTCTCCAGCTAGGTTTAGACAGAACGGTTCTACCAAGGAGTTAGTTTCTTGTATATACACTGGACTTTCCTGGTTGGGAGAACCAGAATCACTGTCTGAGCAGGTTCTTTCACACAAGATCTGCTCGGTGGCCATCACTTGCACCTGCGTCTGCATCTCACTCTGGGCAAGTGTTGTCTCAAGTTCCTTGATTCGCTCCTCGAGTCTCTGTTGGATTACCTTGTGGAGACGGAGGCTGAGATCCCTAGGTGAGACAGGATAGTTTGCATCATGTGTGTAATCTGGGGAGCTTTCTCTACTATCCCTGCCATGGGCACTCTCACTGCTGTGGTCAGCAAGATCACAATGGGTTGTATCGATCTTCAGTTCTCCCTGGACAATATCTCCAATGAGATCCTGTTCAACCTAGAAAAGTGATTATCTATTCAGTAGACTTGTAGAAGGTGGCCACATTCAGATGTAATGCATAATGTTTCAGTATAACTGTTACCTCACTGAAGTCAAATGTTTGTTCTTTCAAGCAGTTTGAAGTTATATTTAATTCCAATCTCGCAAGCTCAGCTTCAAGCTCTTCTTCGATTTTGCTCATGGGCTCTGAATCAGTTACATGAGCTTTGCTCTCATCATCTAGCATTAACAAACAATACAATTCTTTTCAGTTTGTGTATGTAAAAGAAAGTTCTTTGTTTTGGTAGTTGATACTTTACCATCAATTTTTACAGACATTTCATTAGGCAATTCCTTTACAGTTAAACCCTCTCTCATCTCCAGCTCATCATGCAGATCTTGAATCAAGTTCTCCATTCGTTTCACTGTACCCTTTAATGCATCAAGCTCATTCTTGTTTGATAAAGTGGATGATATAATACCAATACTGACACCAGTAGAGAATATGCGCAGTCGAGCAAGTAAATCTGCAGATCAAATGTATGTATTTAGCATGTAATTCATGCTTAAAAAATGATACTTTAATAGGCTTTACTTGGGTTTGAGAAAGAGGACATCAGAAGAGACAAATGCCCACGAAATCATGTTGACATACAAGGCTCGATGATAAATGGACTGTAATCTCTTCTAAATTATCTCAGCAATTAAGAGCTCTAGTTCTCAGAGTACAAAGTAATGAGCACAGATTAAACAATTTCTTGAAATAATCATCAATACATTTTAAACCACTGAGAACATTGTTAAACATTGGAAACTGACTTGAGAAGAGTAGTGCATAAGTGAAGCACATAATAATTGAACTAATCTCATCACAACGAACAGAAGTTCAACAGAAGAGCCACTGCAAGCATTCCAGTATAGCACTGGGGCATAGATGTCAGTGTTGACCACATCATCAGATGATAGATGTAAGTCTCCTATCCTATTCCTATGTGGTTGAGCCAAGAAACACAGGACAAAGAACTGGGTGTCTGGGTTCTCAGAAAACCAATGAATAACATAGCCAAACTCTAATAGGCATGGTAGCCTAATTTGTATGGTTTCCATTTATTTTAAGAACGATGTAATTGACCTCACTTGAAAAAAAAAAGTTTTACTTCATCAATTGCAACACTTAACCTAATAAAAGTGTTCTGTTGAAAACAAAAATTCAGGAGTTGTGCTTACTGTGACATGTCAGAGCATATGAGGATCAACTCCAAGGAACACTGACCTATTTTGATCCAATGAATTTTATCTAGTATTCTAGGTGACAGAAACATGAGGAGAAAAAATATTTAGAATATGGAGTTATGTGTTTATTGTATTGCAATAACTGCAGCATGATGCTGAAATTACCTGTTGATTTTGATGGCTTACTACTCTCGAAAGCAGACAAACCCATCCCTCCATTGTGTGATCCCTGCCTCTCCCTTTTTGATTTCTTCAGCTCAGGTAGAGGAGCAATCCCAATTACACTTTCCACCATTTCTGAGCTGTTTCGACGCCCTTCCTTCTCAAATCCAATATGAAATGGTACAGGCACTGGTTGATAACGTGACTTACTAATGACTCTCCTTCCATCTGTTACGATGAACGGCCTAGCAGAAGCGGGGGAGGGAGCTGGCCCAAACGTGCACTCATCAATTTCAAAATCTGCACTATAAAGTTGAGGAATGTAGGAATTCTCCATCGGCACGAGTGGCCTAATCAAGTGCCTACGCGACCGTCTGCTCCTAAGAGCACCTCGACCTCTCCCAGGTCCAGAACCAAGACCAGGGCTCCTTGGAGAGACCTCAACAGCCGAGCCATCTCGAAAGGAATCCATCAGATTCTTGCCTTCACCAACAACCCTACTACCACTTGCGAGCATCATCTTTTCCTCATTCTTCTGAGAGCCACTCCTCTTAAAGATCCAAGGCTGCAGGCTCAATATGGACCCAGGATCTCTGACATACTCACCGGGGCTAACTGACGCACCGCTAGTAGACGCGACGATTCTGCTAGCCGAAGCACCGAACCGCGAGCGAACCGAGCTTCTCGGAGTATTGCAAGGAACATTCTCCTCGTCGAAACCGAATTCCCCAACAAGCTGCCCAAGAACCATCCTGTGGAATGAGCTTTTCCCTGCCTCAACATTCTTATGATGCTTATTATCCATCGGAAACCTGGCAATGCCTCGCTAATTCCTTGGCAAAAGTAGACGCATCTCCTCACTCCACAGCTTGAACAGCAGGGGGGTGGACCTGACCTAGACGTGGTGGTCAGCTCAGCTCAAACCCCCCAAATTTTTCTCTCTCTGCAAGCACAAGATGTTATTAGTTCTACTTCTTCTACACCACGCACCCATCAAAGAAATCCTGAAGAAGCTAGTAGGGTTTCACTAGAGAGAGAAACGAAACCAATCCAAGCCCGGATTGATTCCCAGTCCACGCCGCGGCGGCGGCGGCGGCGGCGGTGGTGGAGGAGGGAGAGAGGGGATACCTTCGAATTCGATTCGAAGCCGAGATGGAAGGACGGAGTCGCCTCCGCCGCGTCCAGACCAGCCTCGCCGCCGGCCCGCCGCCGCGCAGGGACTACTGCCAAAGGCCGGCGGCTGGCCACCGGGGGAGGCACAGCCACAGGGAGGGGAGGGAGGCTCACAATGCTGCCGCCGGCGCGGCGAGCCGGCGACGAGGAAGCGAGGCGGCGGCGGCGGCGGAGAGGAATCAGTGGAGAGGAGGCATTTGGGGAGTGAGATTTGGGGGGGTTTGGGTTGGTCCGAAAGAGGCAACAAGAACACCCCAAAACAGAAAAAAAAACATAAAAACATTTAATTTAGAGTAAATTGTATAGTATTTTGCACTTACACCGGGTTTACTATATATTTTTATTTTACATCAGGATATATAAAAATAGTTTTTATTTTGTACTCCCTCCGTTTCAAGTTATAAGACATTTTGACTTTGATCAAAGTTAAACTGCTTCAAGTTTGAGGCAAATATATTAATATTTACAATACCAAATTAGTTTCATTAAATCAGTAATTGAATATATTTTCATAATAAATTTGTCTTGGGTTGAAAATATTTTTATTTTTTCTACAAACTTAGAACAGTTTGACTTTGTCCAAAGTCAAAACGTCTTGTAACCTGAAACGGAGGTAGCAGTAGATTGTGTCATATAACTGAAGGAAATTATTTATAAATCACGAGTGGACCTTATGTTTTTTTTAAAAAAAAATAGACCATGTTTCACAAAGTTTCATTCATTTTATATAAAATTTCATGAAATTTTTATAGGTTTAATGATGTATCCCGGTGTTAACTGAAATTTATTTGAAGGCAACCTGGTATAAACTAAAAGTACGTGCTAAACTAGCACCTGGTGTAAAGTGAGACCGGGTGCGCTTTACTCAGTGCAAAATGCAATTTACTCTTTATTTTTTCTAAAAAAGATAAACATAATCTAAGTGGATTAAAAGGGGAAATTCGAGCGCATTGTGAGCTGATTTTATTTTACAGCCATTTAGACCACGATTCACGCAGGCCACAATAAAAAGGCCTAGAGGAGGATTGGGTATAACCAATAGGGTATCTGAATTTACTCTGTGTTGGCACATATTTTAGCCATAAAAACTTATAAATTCATGGCTGCTTCAAAAATCGATCTAGTCTGGCAAAATTTGAGAGATCTTGTATTATAATCAACCCAATACTGAAATGATGATAAAATGTGTTATAGTAAATAGCTTTGACTTTTTAAAAGTAAAAAAATTACAAAAGAAAATGCTCCTATTACTAGCGGATTAATTTGATATTCTCCTTTTTAACTTATCGCTTCAAGCGATACCCTTGAAGTTTCCGAGTTAAAATATATATTACAAGATATACTCTTAGAGAAGTTTTCAAGAGATGACGTAAAAACATGGATTTGACTGGATATTATTATTATTATTATTATTATTATTATTATTATTATTATTATTATTATTATTATTATTATTATTATTATTATTATTATTATTATTATTAAATTAATTAACAAATCTGGAATTCTATGGTCCAACTCAGAGAGCTCATAGAAATGGTCTTCATTAGTTTAGCAAATTTTGTACATTGATGCTACATAGTAATGGCAGTATATTCACCATGTTTCTAAAAAGAACAATATATTCCCTGTTCCTTTGTCTTCATGTTGATTTTTGTTTACATTACACATTTTGTTGTGATTGTGTTCGTTCCATTTCACGCCATACAAGTTAGTTTATTGGAAATTATCATCTTTCACATCATTTATACATTAAAACAAGAGTGCCATTTTTTTTATTCCATACACATACTATTACTGAATAATGATTTCAACAAAAACATTGAGAACACGCTTAGCTTAACATTTGGTCAAATCGTATTTTAAACTGCACATAAAAATCGCAGTTTTCCATTCTATAATTTTTTTCACCATAAATAAAGAGCATCCTTCTTTTTCCTGCATTTCTCTCTCTCTCTCTCTCTCTCTCTCTCAATATAGTTTTAAACTCGTTTCTCAATATATGATACTACTGACTTTCCCTCCCTTTGACAATGTCCTTTTTTTTTACAGTATCCAAGAACTGGGCCTGTTTTCTGGGGGACAGAGAAAAGGGATGCTTGGCCTTTACATCATTAGCCAAAGGAAAAGATAATCTTCTTCAATCCCAGCCGTCAAAATGTATGGATATTGAATTCCATCAACTGATGAAGGCCCACATGTTTCTTAAAGCTAAAATGGTTACTTGAACATTGATTGATAGCCTTTTTCTCCAACCATTATGAAATGAATGTACTTGTATCTAGCAATTTTTCAGTTATACACATAGAAATTCTATACTAGATCGGTGATGTTTTTGGTTAGCACTTTGGCTTTCAATACAAATTTTATGCATCTAATAAGCAATTACATGTGTAAACTCTGTGTGTAAGGCTTGCAAAAACAAGCAAAGAGCTTGGATATCCACAGTACTAAACAAAGCTTGGCTGGGAATGTCTGACAAGAAAATGGGTACATAGGATGTTGATTGATGATGTTTGTATACATGTTGTTTTCCTTGATAAAACATCCTTTGGAAAATGCCAAATAATGTGGCCTTTTTTGTTTGGTTTTTTTTTCCCTTTCTTGGACCTTTTGTGTAGATGGACTTCTCCTTGTCCTCACAAGACAAGATAAGGGTTTGGTTATTTTCTTTGGCCCGCATATAATGTACTGTTTGCGCCACACAGTATGATAGACAGCAATATCGGGTTCCAACGAAAAATTGCAAACCATACATTTCGTTGTAATTTTGTCATGGAGCTTAAAATAAAAAAATGCAAGGATGTAGTCCCTCTATTTTTATATTTTTATATATGATTGTCGGTGACATGGGACCGGGAGTATCATGACTTAGAGACTTGAGGCAGACACGATCACCCACGTGGCCTAACCCCCTCGGGGGGGTCGGGCCCGAGGGTGATACGGCCGCCCTTCTCTTTGTCTCCCCGAGGGGTCGGACTGCTCCCGTCTCGGCCCCGAGGGCCGAGGCGCCCCGACCCCTTGTGGATTTTGCGCCGCGTGTATGGGTTAGGTGAGTGCAGCGGTGCTCACCTAACCGCATTTATTGCGGTTTGGACGAGCGCGTCACGCCGCATGAAACGCAGTGAAGCGCGCTCGTTTATCCGGTCTGTGATCAGTCACAGACCGGTCAAATCGTCGGTTAGGTGGCGACAGGCGGTCTGACGCACGCCTCGCCCCATCCCGTCAGGACGAGAGCCTCCAAGCACTCGTCCCTAGCCGGAGCCGGCGTGTTAGCTCCTGGAGATGGCACGTTGATTCCGGTCAGATATATGCCAGGCTTCATCCTAACCATTATAAGCAAGACATTGTATGAAGAGGGGCGAACATGCAGATTGATAAACTGACGCGTGGTGGACAAGAATGACCGATTTGTGACCGGTCTGACACTGGTCATGTCGTCAGCAGACAGCCATGTTCCCACGTCGCGCCTGCTTCCGGCGGAAGTGGAGGTAGGTGTGGGCCGTCCCATCAGAAGGTCATTCAGACAGCAACCATACAAATCTCCGTCCATTTATGAAAAGAGAGGATAAGTCCCCACACAAAAAGAGAGAGAGGGTGCATGTGGTATCCCCTTGAGGTATAAAAGGAGGACCTTGCCCACTTAGAAGGGGGATGATCTTTTCGGATCCCAGAACAATCGGGGGCTGGCTCGCACTTTGTAGCTTCTTCATACACAGATCCACCAAAACACAGGAGTAGGGTATTACGCTTCTCAGCGGCCCGAACCTGTATACATCGCCCGTGTCTTGTGTGTTTCCACTCTCGCGAACCTTCATCTCACACAGACCAGGAGCTTAGAACCTCACCCAGGGCCCCCGGCCGAACCGGCAAAGGGGGGCCTACGCGGTCTCCCGGTGAGGAGCCCCACGCTCCGTCAATGATGCTGTTTACTTTTGGAAGTGAGATTTGACTATTTGTTTTATTAAAAAATTAGTGTAAATGTGAAAAAAAGTAATGATTAAGGCACCTTTAATGATAAAACAAATCACAACAAAATAAATGACACTTACCTAGTTTTTTTAATAGGACATTTTTAAATAAATGAAAAGGGAAGGAGCCTCCTGTTGGGCAGTGACCCACCACAGCGGAATGTCTCCTTCCGGTTTGAATCCTACTGGTTGGAAATCCCGGGTTTTATGGATGTGGTAAAAAATTCCTGGGAAAGACAGCTACTTGCTTCTAACCCCTTCTCTGTCATGCGGTTGAAATTGCACCATCTTGCACGTGATCTAAAAAGATGGAGCAAATTGCAAGTTGGGGATATCAGACTCCAGTTAGCCATTGCAAATGAAGTGATTTTCCAGTTAGATGTGGCCCAGGAATCAAGATTGCTTTCAACTGATGAGAGATCTCTACTAGCCGACCTGAAAGTCAAAGTGCTGGGTCTTTCTGTTCTAAACAAAATTAGTATCAAACAAAGAGCAAGATTATCTTGGTTAAAAGTGGGCGATGTAAACTCAAAGTTTTTCCACCTTAAAGCTAACTGCAGACGCCGCAAAATTACATCCAATCCCTAGCCACCCCCAATGGAATTGCAGTTTCCGCCCATGACAAGCATGCAGAACTGCATCGTATCTTGTCGGTCGAATTTGGCACAAGCCAACCAAGATATTTGGGTCTAAATTGGGAAAAATATCAACTTTCCCTCTTTCGACCTTTCTGAACTGGAGACAAATATAACAGAAGAAGAGCTTAATGCCACGGCAGAGAAGGCCCCGAGACCTGATGGTTTTACTGGTGGTTTCTTCAAGGTGGCATGGGATATTGTAAAAGGTGATTTGGTTCAATGGTTTTGGAACCTGAACACAAAATATTTGAATTCGGCGCACATCAGCCTCCTCCCTAAAATAGGGGACACCTCCAGCGCCGATCATTACAGACCTATAAGTTTAATGCATAGCTTTGCAAACAATCATCACTAGGATTCTTGCAAATAGATTGGCATGAGAATAAACAAGTTGGTCTCTCATAATCAAAGTGTGTTTGTGAGGAAAAGAGCTATTCATGATAATTTTCTCTTTATCCAAAACATGGTAAAATTCTTGCATAGGCACAAAAAAACAATGCCTTTTTGTCAAAGTCGACATTTCAAAAGCATTGGACTCGGTAAGCTAGCCTTTCCTATTGGAAGTCCTACAACGTTTTGGCTTCGGAACAAGATGACGTAATTGGGTTTGCCAGAGCATCCGGTCTGCACACCAACGTTGAAAATACCGAAATCTTCCCAATAGCTTGTGAGGGGGTGGATGTTCAAGATATAACGCAAGTTCTCCCGGGGTCGATAAAAACTTTCCCCTGCTCCTATTTAGGTTTGCCGCTGCACACGCGCAAACTAAGGAAAGTGGACTTCATTCCCTTGATTGACAAATTTGGTGCACGCTTACCGGGTTGGAAAGGAAAGTTTTTCACTTCAGCAGGACGTGAAACTCTCGTTAAATCAGTTCTCGCTGCTCTTCCAATTTATCATATGACAGGAATCCAAACACCTAAGTGGGTTATCAAACGCATTGATCGTTTTCGCAAAGCGTTCCTTTGGAAAGGAGACGACCCCGACAATGTCAGCCTAGGAAGCAGCCTAGTTAACTGGAGCATAGTTTGCATGCTGAAAAATTTAGGAGGCCTCAGAATTTTAGACCTTAACAAGTTCTCTAGAGCTATTCGTCTTCGATGGTTTTGGTTCAGTTCAAAGGAGGAAAACAAGCCTTGGTTGGGCTCAGAGTTGACTTGTGACAATGTTGACAAGAGTCTTTTCTAAGCTGCTACAGAGATCGTGCTAGGAGATGGAAAAAAAGCATTGTTTTGGGATGACAACTGGCTCTCCAACCAATGCCCAAAAACCTTGCTCCAAGGCTTTTCAGCTTAGCAAAACGAAAAAGAAATACAGTGCATCACGAGCTAACTAGCAATAATTGGATCTTCTCCTTTCGGCAAATTACTACAATTGAGGAGATCCATAAATTGATTTCTCTAGGCGCCCTCATTCAGAACGTGCAACTCTTTCCAAGTCTGCCAGATGATATCCTTTGGAAGTTCTCATCTAATGGAATTTACACCTCAAAAAGCGCATACTTGTTGCAATTTCAGGGCATCTTCGCCACCACTGATTTTGCGAAAATCTGGTCAGCTCCTGCTGAGCCAAAACATCGTTTTCTTGGCTGGCTCATTCTACACCAAAAAACTCTAACCGCGCAAAATCTTCTTCAATGCCACCAGCCATGCGATTGGATTTGCCCTCTTTGTAGGGATGCTTTCGAAGACACTGCTCATCTGTTCAAAGAATGCTCTTTCACCATCGATGTGTGGAATAAGACTTGTGTTTGGAAGGGTTTAGGTCAAAACACTTTGCCTAACACCTTAGATTTAAGAAGTTGGTGGAGTTTGCTCTCAGCCATTAGACCAAAACCCCAGCAAAAAAGAACTCTAGGGTGCCTGATCACCTCTTGGTGAAACATTTGGTTGGAGTGGAATCAACGTATTTTCCAAAAACTATGCACGACGATCGACAGGGTGGCTTCCCTAATCCTGCAGGATCTCGATCTGCGCCACACGGCTTTCCAACCCCCTTGATGTTTGTCAGGGTTACGGATAAGGTATACCCTCTACCTTTGGACGTACGCTACATACCGATAAGGTATACCTGCGCGCATACGGATAGTTTCCGTATACATTAAGGAAATCCATCACGTGATAAGGATAACATCTACGGATGGAAGGAGTTCTACTCGGATAGGACTGGGTCGTTACCATATCGTTTGGGGTCCGATATCTCCGAGTTCTACTTGGAGATAAACTGACCCGCGGTATAAAAGGGACCCCCTAGGCAGGACCTAAGGCATCGAATCTTACCGCCAACACATCCACCACAGCCTACGGAGCCGGAGTGTGTAGGAGCCAAGTTGCCGGGAGATCTAGTCGAACCAACTCGACTACGGTCTCGTCGGTATCATCGAGTTCCGCTATTTCCCTTGTAATCTATGGTTTCCATCATATAATCCCATATCAACTAGATTAGGGCTATTACCTATCAAGGGGCCTGAACCAGTATAATCCTTGTCTTCTGTTTGCTTGATGTCGTACTACGTAGATCCTCGTATCAACGGACCCCAATACCCTCTATATCCGGTCTACGGGTATCCCCCGGCGACAATGTTTGTCCTGTTATTATTTTTCTTTATTTTCTTTGCCTTTTTATGTTTGCATGTACATAACTTTTGTTTCTCCTAATATATTCTGGCAGTCCTTCTCCGTCATTTCCTCAAAAAAAAAAGGAAGGAGCTCAAGAACTTGTTTTCTCTGCAACTGCAGATTCAAAATAAGATTATATTCCTAATGACAAGTTATGCTTAATTTCACTCGTTTCCTTATCTCAGTTTTACTCAGCCAAGCCCTGAACTTTTGTAAATCACTGCAACTGGCTGACATTCTGAACCTATTCATCATCAGGTGTCCAGGTTAGAGCAAAAACCATTCAGAATTTCATCTACTGCTACAACAAAACAAAATACACAGCCAAGAAAATTCTGTGCTTATTAGATTTATTGGTACAGTCCCAAAAAGAACTAATGTGCAGCAACTACAGTTCTCTAAGAGGCCACATCAAACCAATCTCAATTCTCACCCATCTAGAGCCGTTCATGCTTTAGGTAGCCAGTGTGGTCCGAGGACAATTGTCAACTGAGCAGGCCAGGATGTCCCGGTAATCGCGTGAGATTGTGAAATGATCATACACATTGCCGTCGCGGCTCTTCTTGTACTCGAATAGCATGGATGAATGATTGAAAGCCGTGAGCTTCACGAAGCCGAAGTCAAAGTCTGTGTAGTGACTCCATTTGATCTTTGAAGTGGTGAATTCTGAAAGGCTGGCACCACCACCTCCAACGACCACATGCGTCGTCGCTTTGAATGGGCCGTTGTAGTGATCCGAAGCGTTAACGACACACTGACCCTGAAATCAATCAAAGATTGTAGTCAGTCTAGTATTGCTTGTAACATGGAATTGTCAGTGTGCTAACGGTAATTTTAACTGTAGCATTACCGGCAAATACTAGTTATCAGTTTGCATTTTGTAGAAACAAAAAAGGAAGACTTTTCAAATGCTTTCATACATAACTGAGTACAAAGTGGATACAAAATTTTCAATCTGCATAATCACAGTTTGAGCTGAAGCAAATGGTAATGAGATATGCACCTGATAAACTGGACATGTTCTTTCATAGCTGTGAACATGACCATAGAAGGCAAGATCAACTCTGTACTTTTGTAATAGCTCCTCTATTGTGTCTCGCCCCATCGGCTCCCCAAATGTACCCTGTTCTTCATAGTAGGAGCAGGATGAGTACCCAAGAACGCGGTGAGCAAGGAATATGAGCCATGGCTGCTTCTGCCTGTCGACAGATGATAGGCATTGCTCGATGAACTTGTACTGCTCGGTCCCTGGCCTCCAGTCCTCTTCTGTATGGGCAATGCAGAACCTGAACATGCCGTAGTCTGTCGCATACCTGAAGGACAACTGTTCTGTTACTAAAATGTTCAGACAATTTCTGCAGCCATACTGAGCCACTTTACCAGAATTTCGCACGGTTCTCGGCAGGAGTGTAGAATACAGTTTGAGCAGGAACACCACATTCTCCTCCGGAATCAAGGTTTCCGTAGAAAGAACCAGTTCCAGGCCAATCCCTCTCATGATTACCACTGCAAAAAATGCCCATATTTAGTCAAGGCAAGAACAATTGGAAGGGCATAAGCACTGAAATGAGATACTGACCTGCCAATCATGTATGGCACAGTCGAAGCAATCGGTTCGATCTGTGCAGTGAACTGATCCCACTGCGACAAGTAACCATTTGCGTAGCAAATATCCCCAATGTGGACAACCATGTCAATGTTTTCCAGGTCTCTGATGATCTGGTAAGTAGTGTTCAGTGAACCTGGCTGGAAGTCATTGAACTCATTTGAACCATCTGCCTCTGCCTGAGGAAATATGTCACAAGATAATATCACTGTAATTTCAAAACACCATGCCCAACAGTTATGTGAAATGAACACCAGATACAATTATACAATTGACACAATATCTACCTTTCCCATGTCTCCGAATATGACTACTCGCTGCAAAGAATCTTGTCCAGGATAAGGTGATGCTTTGAAGCTGTATGACTTGCTCCAGATAAGTGTACTGTTTGGTAGCCTATGACCTAGTCTGTAGGTATACCTGATACGTTGCAAAGTAAACCATACTGCTTAGTTTCTGGATGTATCAAAATTCAAGAGGAGGTTAAACAGTCAAGATTGATCGCATACAGTGAATCTGGCCACAGATCTTTTAAGTAACTTGTATGAATGTAACCAGGATGGCGCCATCCAACAGTTCGTGCCGGTGCACCTACATCAGCAGATTGAAACTCTCTGGTTGATATGATATTCAGAGAACAGAAATACAGTGTTATTAGTACTACATTACTATACTGGATATGCATATTTTCAGTTCTGTTGACATTGTAAGTTCTGAACTTCCACTTTGGTGTACTTCTTCAGAAAAAAAAAAGTACTATTTTTCATCTTGAAACAAATAAAAAATAAAAATTTAGTGGCATACCACACATGCTATTCCTGTCGAATGTCAATGTTCCAGCTGGAGAAAGAAAACTACGGCCTCCTTTCGCACCCCATTCGACAAAAGGAACAGCTTCTTTAATATCGTATCCACTTGTCCAGGTGACTGTCATCTACAATAATACTTCCTTAGTCACCCTTCTAGATTATTTTAAGACAGAACTCTCGCATAACGAAAAGTACATTCTTGCTTCATTGTTAAACTTCAAAAAGACTAGTTGAATACTTTGAACATTCATGTCAGTTCCATATTGGTTGGTAAACTTACTTCATTCCAAGACTTCCCTTGTGCCAAACGTGGGTAAACAGGCGCCTTTGGATTTGCAAATGCGACCTTGTTTGAGACTGCAATTAGCTTCGGCTGTTACAGTAGTGAATTATTTTCGGACATGAGAAATGTAACTTCTTCCAAAAAGAAAGAAGAAGGAAAATGTGAGAAATGTATCTTCAGAAATAACCTTCAGGTGTTGTATACAAAAGTTCAGCAGAAGCCATTTTTGTTTTACCTTCAATAGGCCACCTGAAAAGAGTGCAAATGAGAAATCTTCCCTCTGGTTGATCAACTGAAGCTTCAGGTAGCCCTTCCCAGACTTATTATAGCCATCATTATTGAAGTTTGCAAATTGGTACTGCGATTAATAAGATATCGGAAAGTCTGAATACTATCAGGGAATTATATCTGAATCTTAATTAATTGGAACAGGAAAGAACTTAGTAACCTTGATAGGTGCCGTGCATAGCACCGGGGGACGCTGCCTCTTGTTTTCAGGCTCACAGATTGCAGCACTGACAATATCCAAACAAGAAACAAAAAGTAAAAAAGAAAATCTCGTGTTAAAATTTCAGGTGCATCTGAAAAAGGCTCACTCAGTTTGATTTCCTGTTACCTAAAATTAGCTGGAGAAAACACTCCAATCCAGTCGTCATTGGAGGGGCTTGGATGGAAGAACTCTACCTCTACCCATTCACTGTTCTGACCCTGCAGCATCAAAATTCAGAAGCACCACCCAAAACTGTCAGTAAACCATCTGTGATTCAGTGTGCAAATGCTAATAACAGTGATGTGAACTGAGAAATGGAGCTGACCTTCAGTCCAAGAACCCAAGGCGATGCCTTGACATGCGCCGATTCGTTGACGGCAAGGACCGTCCTCTCGACAGCGATCCTCGACAGCGGCTGCTCACCGGGGTGCGCCGCCGCGCAGACAATCAGCCATGTGGCCACCACCCAAAGCCTGATCATACTCCTCCTTCAGTGTCCTGAAAATTGCCCGGCCGGAATCAGTGATGAACTATGCCTAAAAGACTAAAATTCATCGCCTGCCTGCCTGAAATTCCTACCAAGAAAAGGCAGCAGCTTTAATATCCCCTTGAAGGAAACAGGTGCAGATGTGATCATCATAAATAAATATCTCAATCCAATCATTGAGGTAGGAATGTGTACTGATACTGGGGCATAGGAGAATATTCCCTGCACCTAAGAAACCAAATTGCGAGTCAGAAGCGATGTAGAACTGAACACCGGAAATTCAGATTGGGACTTGGCACAGGTGCATCAAGAAAGACCCAAATCTATTGACTTTGTTAGTGTCATCTGAATAGGAGAGCTGCAGCTTTTCAAAGTCAGCCAAGTATAGGCTGTGTTTAGTTCCCTTCAAACTTCCAAAAATTCTGTCACATCAAATGTTTGGACACATGCATAGAGCATTAAATATAGACAAAAAAAATCAATTGCACAGATTGCATGTAAATTGCGAGACGAATCTTTTGAGCCTAATTACGCCATGATTTGACAATGTGGTGCTACAGTAAACATTTGCTAATGACAAATTAATTAGGCTTAATAGATTCATCTCGCAGTTTATAGGCAGAATCTGTAATTTGTTTTATTATTAGTCTACGTTTAATACTTCAAATGTGTATCCGTATACTTCAAAATTTTTACACCTAAACAACTAAACACGGCCATAGTACACCCAATAATTATCTGCACTTGGAAGTTTCCAAATATTGTATGCATTTGGAAGGCGGATAGATTCTCCATTTGCATCATGGGATACTACAATCATGTGGTAACAATTCCTTTCTTGATGTTTACAGGATAGTATATAGTCATGATTATAAGAATCTATCCCTCAAGGATGCAAGCTGCCCAGCATATGTAACCCATGTACAGTCCATTTAAGTGGGTTGGCCCATTAACCCACATAGGCCTACTTGTATCCCTATAGTTAAATCAGAGAAGAGAGAGATGGGGATTTATTTTCTTTTGAAACTAAAAGAAATGAGGATTGAACTGTTTATCCATTGAGTTAGGGTTAAAAAAAATATATTGTGTACAAAAGATTAGAAATTACCCTTGCAACCACTATTACACCTATACTTACACGCACGAGACAAGACTTGAACGCAGGCCAGTCCAAACCCTGGTAGCGCTCCAACCACTAGGCTACGGCACCGTTCTCACTTACATTTATACCCTTAACACCCACAATGCTGATGTAGCACACTCTCTGAAGTCAATGCTTGATTGCTAATTTATTAGATAAACTGAAAATATCTAAAATATCAGGACCATTTGAAATTGCTTTCAAATATGAATCGAATGCTATCACATCGATGTCAGCAAACCCTATGTTTGATTCTCAAAGAAGGTGGGATTGGGGTACACTCAAAAACAGGGGCTGTTCTAGTTAGGAAAAGGGTTGTATTGGGATGGAATATTTTTATTCCAATGTCTTTTACTACTAGAAATTATGCATATATATTTTATTATTGCTAGGCTCTAGATAATCCCATGTAGATAGATAATATAATTTTGGTATAATAATTGCAAACCTTACATTTCATAATAATGTTGGCATGGAACCTAAAGACAAACCACAGTTTTCTAGTGGTTGTTCAGTTGGTGCATTTAATCTTTTCTAAGTTTTCTATTTTTTTCTAGGATTTTTTTAATAGAAAGAGAAGGATCTCAGTACTTGTTTTCTTTAAATTGGAATTTCAGATTCAGAAGATGATTTATATTCCTAGTGGGAAGTGATGCTTGATTTCATTCATTACTTATCTCGACTTTCCTCGCCATGACCCTGAACACTGCAAATTGTTGGAATTGGCTGACATGCTGAACCTATTTATCATTAAGTAAGAGCAAATTACATTCAGAATTTCATCTACTGGTACAACAAAACAAAGTACGCAGTCAAGAAAATTCCGTGTTTATTATGATTTATTGGAATAGTCCCAAAAGACTTTGTACAGGAACTAGATTGCTCTTTGAGGCCCTGTCAATCAATCTACCTGTAAACCTGTCTAGAACTGTTCATGCTTTAGGTAGCCAGTGTGGTCCGAGGACAGTTGTCAATTGAACAAGCCAGGATGTCTCGGTAATCACGTGAGATTGTGAAATGATCATACACATTGCCGTCACTGCTTTTCTTGTACTCAAACAATAAGGATGAATGATTTAAAGCTGTGAGCTTGACAAAACCGTAGTCAAAGTCCCTGTAGTAACTCCATTTGATATTTGAAGTGGTGAATTCTGAGTCGGAGGTACCAGCACCAGCACCTCCAACGACCACATGTGTTGTCGCGGTGAAAGGACCACTGTAATGATCTGAACCACTAACAACACATTTATTCTGAAATCAATCAAAGATTGTAGTCAGTACAGTAATTTTGTAACATGCAATTGTCGAGTGTGCTAACTATATGTTGACTGTAGCATTACCGACAATACTACCTATCAGTTAGGTTTTTTGTAACAAAATATATTATAAGGTACTGTCCTACAAACTTGTGCATACAGTGAATAAAAACTTTTCAATCTGCAAAACTGCAATTTGAGTTGAAGCAAATGGTAATTAGATACACACCTGATAGACTGGGCATGTTCTTTCATAGTTGTGGACATGGCCATAGAAGGCGAGGTCAACCTTGTACTTCTGCCAAAGCTCCTGTAGTGATTCTCGGCCCATCGGTTCCTCAAATGTACCCTCTTCTTCATAAAAGGTGCAGGATGAGTACCCGAGAACTCGGTGCGCAAGGAATATGAGCCATGGCTGCTTCTGCCTGTCGACGGACGATAGGCATTGCTCGATGAACTTGTACTGCTCAGTCCCTGGCCTCCAGTCCTCTTCTGTATTAGCAATGCAGAACCTGAACATGCCATAGTCTGTCGCATACCTGAAGAAGGATAAAAGTTGTTTTAGTAAAATTCAGAAATGGCAAAAGTTGTAACAACTGATGTAGCCACACTGAGCCATAGAATTACCATAATTTTGCACGGTTCTCAGCAGGAGTGTAGAATACAGTTTGAGCAGGAACACCACATTCTCCTCCAGAGTCAAGGTTTCCATAGAATGAACCAGTTCCAGGCCAATCCCTCTCATGATTACCCCTGCAGAAGTGCCCATTTACAATTGTTAGACAAGAACAATTGGAAGAACACAAGCAATGAAATGAGATACTGACATGCCAATCATGTATGGAACAGTCGAAGCAATTGGCTCGATCTGCGCAGTGAACTGATCCCACTGCGACAAGTAACCATTTGCATAGCAAATATCCCCAATATGGACAACCATGTCAATGTTTTTCAGGTCTCTGATGATCTGGTAAGTAGTGTTCAATGATCCTGGCTGGAAGTCATTGAACTCATTTGAACCGTCTGCCTCTGCCTGAGGAAATATATCAGGAAAGAATATCACTATCACTGTGTTTTTTTTCAGAACACCATGCTCAACAGTTAATGAACACCAGATACAAATAGTACAATATCTACCTTTCCCATGTCTCCAAATATGACTACTCTCTGAACGGAATCTTGCCCAGGATAAGGTGATGCTTTGAAGCTGTATGACTTACTCCAGATGTGAGTACCATTTGGTAACCTATGGCCAAGTCTGTAAGTATACCTGAAATGTTGCAAAGTAAACCATACTGCTTAATTTCTGGATGTGTCGAAATTCAGGAGGCGGCAAGATAGATCACATACAGTGAATCTGGCCACAGTTCTTTCAAGTAGCTTGTATGAATGTAACCAGGATGGCGCCAACCGACAGTTCGTGCCGGTGCACCTACATTAGTAGATTGAATCGTTGAAATGAAGTGGTTGATATGACATTCAGAGAACAGAAATGCAGTGTTACCCGTACCACACTACTATATTAAGTTATGATGGCATTATAAATTCTAAACTACTCCCTCCATTTCAGATTATAAGTCGTTTTAACTTTGGTCAAAGTCAAACTCCTTCAAATTTAACTATGTTTATAGATAAATATAGTAATATTTATAATACCAAATTAGTTTCAATCAATAATTAAATACATTCTCTTAATAAATTTATCCTGGGTTGAAAATGTTATTATTTTTTTCCTACAAACTTGGTCAAACTTAAAGCAGTTTGACTTTGACCAAAGTCAAAATGACTTATAATCTGAAACGGAGGGAGTATTACTTTTTGAGAGAAGACCGAACTTTAGCTATCTGATGTTCAACAGGATATAGTGACATACCACACATGCTATTTCTGTCAAATGTTAATGTTCCAGCTGGAGAAAGGACCCGTTGTCCCCCTTTCGCGCCCCATTCGACGAAAGGAACTGCTTCTTTAAAATCGTACCCACTTGTCCAAGTTACTGTCATCTACCACAGTACTAATTCAGTCACCTTTTTTTTGAATTTTTTTTAGACATCAATCTTGTATGATGAAAGCTACACTCTTGCTCCATTGGTCCACTTAGAAAAGACTAGCTGAATAACTTGAACATTCATGTTAATTCCAGATTGGTTGGGAAACTTACTTCATTCCAAGACTTCCCTTGAGCTAAACGTGGGTAAACAGGCGCCTTCGGATTCGCAAATGCGATCTTGTTTGAGACAGCAACCAGCTTTGGCTATTAAAGGAGTGAATTATCTTCAGTCATGAGAATATGAAAAGAAAAATGTATGTTTTTTCCTTCCAAAAAATAAATATAGAAAGAGAAGTTCAGAAGAATCTTTTTTTTTCTTTTGGTCTTACATTCTCGAGGCCACCAGAAAAAAGAGCAAATGAGAAATCCTCCCTCTGGTTGATCAACTGAAGCTTCAGTTTGCCCTTCCCAGACTTACTATAACCATTATTATTGAAGTTTGCATATTGGTACTGCGATTAATTGAAGACCAAAAAAAAAGTCAAAATCATGGCAAGGAGCTATATCTGATTTTTTTTTAAGAAAATGTATATCTGAATCTTAATTAACTGGAACAGGAAAAAACTTGGCAACCTTGATAGGTGCTGTGCAGAGCATTGGGTAATACTGTGGAACACCATAAGCCTCACAGATTGCAGAACTGACAATATCCAACACAAGAAACAAAAAAGAATTATCAAAACTTGTGCTAAATTTCAGCTTCACCTGAAAATTTCAGTTCATGTTACCTAAAATCAGCAGGAGAAAACACTCCAACCCAGTCAGTATTGGAGGGGTTTGGATTGAAGAACTCTACCTCTACCCATTCATTGGTCTCACCCTGTAGCATCAGAAATTCACAACCA